TTAGGAAAAAAAATTAGCAAACCACACATTATAATTTAACTTTGAATATAATCATACACGTAAGGTGAGGTTGTTGAAATGCTACCATATCGGGTTCAAAACAGGGAATTCTTTTCCAAGAAAACTAAGAGAAAAAAGGAAAATTATCCTCTTTACGTAAGAGCTACAGTTAGCGACAGTCACTGGTCAACTTCTAAATAAAGTTTGTTTATTGGGTTTTTTTTCCCCCTAATCCTATCCGAAATGGATTGAAAACTCTATTCCAAACTTTAGTTTTCTCCTCTCTTCTAGAAGACTGGCCAAACTCCACGAAATAAAACCGAAGAAAATGATGATAATTATGCAACATTCAGAACAAAGAACATAAGAATATATTTTTTTAAGTGATTCATTGTGCACTTATGCTTGTAATGGGATTTTAACGCACTGTAAAAATAAGTGTGCTGGCTCACTTAGCTTCTCACGCAAATGAAAACGCAGGGAGATGAGTAACTCTGGGATGGGGTGTTTTGTTTTTTTTTTCAAAAGGAGAAGTGTGAAGAAAAATTATAGCATATAATTCCACAGCTCCGAGGGTCCTGAGATCTCAGCCCAGCTAAGCATGCTACAGGTAAATTCCTCAGAAACAACTAGGCCTAAATTAAGTTACGACCTCATGTGACGGTCCGCTTCCCATTTTGCCCACAAAGCCTTAGCAGCTTCTAGAGAGCCTGGGAGGAAGGGAGGGAAGAAGAATTCTAGCTGCACAAGATTTCTTAGGGAATCTTTGGGAATTATATTTCCGCTACATGTCTATAAAAGATTTGTCGGATACATAACTCTTATGACTGTAGACGCAACATGTTCCTATCTCATTTTTTACCCACACACGTACTTGTTTCTCTTTGTCTCACTGAGCCTGACATTTGGCCAGCAGGTTTTTCTCCCCCTTATTTAAAACCTCAAGCACTGAAAAAAATTTGGATCTGATTATTTCCGGATCATAGGACCAGCACTTTAAAATGGATGAAATGCAAGCAAATTGCCCACCAGAGCCAGAGGGGGGAAATGCTTTAAAAATAACTCATACCTTTCTATTACGGATGCACTAGCCTCTCCAAGGCCTCCCCAGACATCGCAGCGGCTCCTTACTCAGATGAAGAAACTCCACCAGGTGACACCACCAAAACCATCATTAGTCTCCACCAACACCAGCCCCTGACGCCATGTACACAATTTACAATTATTTTCCCTTTCTTTTTTTTTTCAAAGAAAAAAATACTAGCTTTTTTTGTTTTTAAGTTACAAGACTACCTCCTTTTTGGCATTTACAGCCACGTTATGACGGCTATTTTTATAATGACAGAGTTCTCATTTGCCATGATCAGCCACCTCCTTTTTATTGCTAGGATGTATCCAGTCTCGGCACACGGTGGAAGGGCCCGTGAGTCGCTGTGAATTAAATAGTGACCTCAGTATCAGGTTTGGTCTGGGAACAGCCACTCTGGATAATCAGAATCATCTGGTAAACTACAAATTTTTCTAACTATGGCATCGATACTAGTTACCAATTTCCAAAGATTCGGGGCAAGAGAAATACCAAAAGCAAAAATGTTTTTACATTCTCTGGGAATGCTCAGAAGGCCTTCGTTGTGATCGCCAGCTCTCAGCCGCCAACATACACACGTAGAAGGTACAAGTTGTGGAACCAGAATCAAATATTTGGAGGTGGAAGCCTTGGAAACTGACACTTACTGCCTGTAGCTTTGAGCAAATCCCTGAACCTTAATGTCTTCATCTATAAAATGGGAATCACATTAATAACAGCCACTACCTGCCCAGCACATTACAGACTGCAAAGCGCTTTGACATCTGTTCCCTTGAAGAGCCCACAAGGCAGGCAAAGCGCAGCTGGCGGGAGGACACACGAGAGAATGTGTGGGAACACACTTCGAACACTGTAAAGCACTGTGCACGGGGAACAAGCGTCATCAGTCCGTCGCCACAAAGCTGTCCGCCCGCATAGAGCCCAGATGTTTACCTTCTTTGCTTGTCAGGACTTATAAAAGCAGAGTGTCGGGTGTTTAATAATAAGAAAGAAAAATGCAGCATCTGGCAATTTGGCCTTTCCAGCTGTTTGGAATCTGGATAAACGGGACTCTGACATAAACAGATCGTGATTCTTATTGTAAATGATGACAATGTTAGTCCATGACGTTGCACCATCCCCACTGCCTCTCGACTCTGGAAATACATAGGACCCAGACATTTATAGAGAAACTACTGGATTCAAGAACCCACTCCCTTCCTCTGCCTCTCCAAGACAGAAGGCCTGAAACCTGACCCCAGACCAAGCAATACTGTCTTCGCTCTGGTCACTGGGCAGCGGTGGCCACAAAAGACCTGAAGCTTGGCACCTCTCAGCCTTGCCTGGCTGGTGCACCAGAATTAACACCCTTTACATTCAAAATTTTAAAAAATCAAACCTTTCTCGCTCCTTGCTCTACCCGCTTTATCTCAAGTATCACTGACCCTAGCACAGTGCCCTGCACAAATTAATAAAAGTCACCCCTTCTACCTTTTCAGTTTATAAAGCATTCTTACAACCCTTGTTTTGCTTACCCTGCAAGGCAGGCGTTATTATCTCTTGTGCAAATTAAAACCCAGAGGTTGAGAACGTTAAACACGTTACAAAAGTTACCCCAAAAATAACCAGACACTGAGGTGGCCCTTACACATTCTTTGTCACTAATCCTTTCATCCATCGGTCTTGCAAATTAAGTCTCAGGGTAAATTTACAAATGTGGGAGCCTAAGACTCATGAGAGTGAAATAACTTCCCCCAAAGTCCCACAGATCATAGGTGGCGGGGTTTTACAATTTCCAGCACAGTCAATAAATATTTTTCCATTGGTATTTCTGTCTGTCTGTTTCCAATAAGCCTGAGAACTTGGAGCTAGATACCCAACATTCAAAGGGTTACATGGTCTGGGGAATATTTTGGTGAGAGTAGGGATGGCAAGAAGGTGCAATTTCCTTACGGTGTTTTTAAGAGGGATGCCAAAGGTCCACCCACTGGGGAAGCCGATTTTGTCTCCAGCCACTCAGTGGCTTGACTGTGAGAAGAACTTGCCTCAGCGACACAGAGGCCAGTTCAGAAACCTCTCCAAGCCCAGGTCCCCGATCCTTCCCCTTCTCCCTAGACTGGTTACACCAGAGCCCTGGCACCCAAAACCCACAACCAGATGGGTGGCCTTTTTCACACCAGACACTTCCCCCACCCTCAGGCTTCAGCTTCCTCACCTTTCAAATGGGTGTGATAAATCCCATCCCACCAGCCTCACTGGGAGGATATGAAGAAAAGTTTTGAAATTGCTTGGAAAAAGCCTAACCAGAGAGAACAGCTTAAGGTATAAAGAAAGAGGCTCTTCCTCCCATTCCTTTATTTTCCTCTGCCCTTTCCAAACACAATCCTGACTTAAAGATCTCTTATTTTAGACATGGGGGGCATGGATAAAAATAATTGGGGTTTAGGGGGAATGGAAGTAGGAAGATTGGACACAAAGCATCCAGATGAAAGGTCTCTAACTACAGCATGGAACAAAGGCTATGTTTGGGAGAGCCATTGACTCGGTCTGCGGAGAACTTGATCTTCAGATGACAGGCATGATTTTTTAAAACACAAAACGTTGCAGGAGGGTATCTGTTTAAGGGAGGATTGTGCATGGCTCGGGGCAAGCCAGGGAGCTCACAGCAGCAAACATTACTCATGTCTTCACTCCTCTCTCTAAAAGAGACCTTATATGTGTATTCCAGCAATAATACTCTGCAGGAGTTGTTTGTTTGTTTGTTTCCATATCTATCCCTCTAAAAAAATGTTCTCTATCTCTTGGAGAAGAGACTGACATTTAAAACAAGGAGATGAGAAATACTGCTCTCTTACAAAGTCAGGTGTTTTCCTTTAAAAAGAAAAAAAAAACGGTTTATGTTTATTTCATTTTACCAGTCCCTGAATTGGGGAGTTGGGTGTTTTTGATCTATAAGGAGCTCTCATCTCTAAAAGCGAGCTGCCCACCTGCTGAAAGTTCCTGGGGCTGACGCTAAGGGTGTGATGCCTATAGCCATAAAACACAGACAGTTTTTGTCTTCCTTGAGAATCACCTGGAAAGAGAACCAAGAGATTCCAAATGCTGATATAATAAAACCCCCAAGCCTTGGTTTCTCCTAAGGGGAAAAAAGGGGGAGAGGTGAAGGGACACAGCACCTTAACAATTTCTCTAATTTCTGGTTAATTATCTGTCAGCATGAAACTTATAAATAATGGCTCAATAATAATTAACTGTGATGAGAAGAACATGTTCATGGAAACCTCGGCACCATCGCTGGCTTTGAGCCCATAAACCACACTGGGGCCTGCGCTTCATATCCACCAGCTTCACTGGTGGAGGAAGGGTACTGCCAAGGAACTTTTGCCCAGAGACTCTGCTTCTGAAGCACCAAGGGCAGAAAAGCCATTTTTAAGTCAGCACTTGACCCAGGCTGAATTATAGAGTCGGAGAATTTTCCATCAGGAATCCAGAAATCATCTGGTATGATTAATTCCTCACTTGTCAGATGGGGAAACTGAGGTCCCAAGAGGGGAGGGGTCTTGCTGAAGGCCTCTGGTTTCTGTTATTTAAGGAGACTGGAATACTTCAAAGTATGCCTTCAGTTGCTCAGATACCCCATACACGAGCTGCTACTCACACTAATATATAATAAAATTTTGACGAGTTTCTACACAACTTTTATCAGAAACATACAGAAGCAAAATTATGTAATCTGAGCTTTCTATACCCACATTTCCCTAAACCGGGCTTACTGAGTTTAAATTAGATGCTTCCTAGAGCAGGCATCTTTTCAGACTGACAAGCGAGTCCCAAACAACTAGAGAGAAACTGAGGAACTCTGGAAGTTTGGCGACGCCCGGCAGCCGAATCTCTCCACACCCGCGGCCAGGCACGTCGGCAGAGCTGGACTCACCCTTCCCGGCGGCGGCCTTGGACGGGCCGTAGTCTCGGGGGCTCCGTGGCCGGAGGAGGTTGTGGGCGCGCGGCGGCGCGGGCGCTCGGGCTAGCAGGTCCCGCGGGCCCCTGTCCCCGCAGCCGCCACCGCTCACGGTGACCCTGAAGGCCATGTGCGCGCCGAGGCTGGCGGGCCCGCGGCCGGGACCGGGCGCACCGGGGGCCTCCTTGGGCCTCTTGTCCGAGTGTGCCTCGGCCACCTCGCAATGCATGGCGCCGGGGCGGGGCGCACGGCTGGGGGTCGCGCCGGGCTCCTGGGGAGGAGAGACAGCACAAGCACGTTAGAATTCGGGAAGCGGCCCCCTCTCATCCCAGGCGGAAGGGCCGAAGTTTAAGCAGGTCACCGCCCTTCAGTTTATTCCTCGTCTCTAAATAGGTTAGCGCCACCACATCTATCCGAAGCCGAAATCAAACCCATCTACCTGATCCCAGGTAAAAACCCCTTCCCCAGCGCAGAAGCGGCTCTCCCTTCCCAGGCTTGTTGAGTGCACCCGCCACCAGCCACTGCGCCCTCCCACCCAAATCCGTCTCCACCCCCTTTTGGACGAATGGGGAAACTGAGGCTTAGAGCGAGGAGGGCACTTGTCTCGCATCCCCCAGTGGGAGAGGGAGCCGGCGGCAACGAGGATCCACAGAGCAGTGCTCCCGCAAAGCCGCGGAGACGGCTCCGGGTGGGCCACAGGGTGCGCGCCTCCTCGGTGCTCCGGACCCGGCTGCGCGCAGAGGCTGAGGATCGTGAACCCAATGGGTCCCGGGCGCAACCCTCGGAGACTCACCCGCCACCACCCAAACCCAGAAAACGGGAGTGCGAGGATGGACGCTCACTCCCACGACGCGAACCCGTCACACGCAGCCCAAGATACATTGCCACGCGCACCGGAGAAAATGAGCCCATCGCGAGGGCAAACCCGCACAGTCAGTAGTGCCCACGCGCGCCCGCTCCCACGCACATCACACAGCCCCGCAAATGCACACTCGAGGACGCGACGCGCTACACACACTCATTCGCCGGCTCGGACACTCAGCACCACTACCAGCCGCACAGTCTCACGCTCTGGCCACACGCGCACGCTGGGGGTCCCGCGCCAGAGCCTGGGCCCTTCCGTCATCCCTGCCGGAGCGAGGGCCTGGGGCCCCCAAATTCTCGTTCCCCTCGGCGCTTCCCGCGCCATCCCAAAGCTGCTGGGATTCGAGCGACGCAGGGACGCCAGCCTTGGATCCCGGGCCCCGCGCCCGCCCCCTCCCCCGGCCGCCGGCCGCGCCCCTTCTCACCTCGCCGCGGCGGCTGCAGTTCGCGGGGCGCACAGCTCGGCGCGCCTCCACTGGCGCCGCAGCCCCCGCAGCTGCCGCCGCCGCCGCCGCAGCGTCCTGCGGGGCGGCACCCCCGGGGGGCGGGCCGGCCCGCGGCTGCCAGACAGCAGCTCGGGCCACTGGCTCGCCGCGGCCGCCCGGCCGGGGCCAATCGTGGCGCGAGGGCGGGGCCTCCTCGCCTGGGGCCCGGGCGGGGCCGGCGGGCTGGGCGGAGGGTTTGACAGGCGGCGGCCGGCTGAAGTCCGGCGCTGCCCGCCGGCCTCGGGCCGCCGCGCGAGGCAGAAGAGGCTCGGCGCTGTCGGGTGGGCTGAGCTTGCGGGGCGTCAGGAGAGCCGGGCTCAACCTGGCTCCGTCCCGCCTCTCCTAGTGGCCTCGGGCAGGGTCCTTACCCTCTCAGGTCGCTTCTCCTCTGTCAAACGGGAACGGCCATACCGCTAACGCCGAGGTAACAGATGAACAGATGCGAAAGTGCTTGAAAAGTTTTCTTGTAGAATCCAACGCGCTCACTCGAGAACTCGCCCAGATTTCACAGCGAGCCAGCGGCAAAGTTGGGGCCCGAACCCAGGCCTCTCGGCCCACTTTCTTACGTTTGTGTTTTGTTTTTCACCGGAAAGAGTCCAAGCTAGAAGGTCTCAACCTCTGAAGTTCAAAAAAAACCCACAAAACTGATGCCTGGATCCCAACTAGAAAATATTCCAATTGAGTTTGTCAGGGGGTAGGGCCCGGGCGCTAAGGTTTTTAGCAAGCTCCCAGGAGATCCTTACAGATCTTGAAATTGAGACCTACTCCGGGGAGTCTGCCCAGTTCCCCTGCTTTCTGGATTCCCCCGACAGACAGCGTCCCAGGGTCCCTGCCCAGAGTGTAGGAAGAGCACTGGACAAAGAACAATCAGGCTTCACAGTGACTGGATTCCCCTCTCTGAGCCTCAGTTTCCTCCTGTGTAAAATGGGAGTGTAAAATAGACCAGGCCTGGTCTGTCAGGGCTACTGAAGGACCCAGCGGAGCCCCTGAAATGGTCTCTGCATTTCACCGAGGCACCCCTGGGCGCTGTGTGCTGGTGATCTGGGCTGGCTCCAAGGGTCCTAACCGGCTTCACACTTCTTTGAGGTCTGGTTTCCTTGGCCTTGGTCTCAAACTGAAAAATGTATGTGGAGCCCCTTCCTACGACACAGCAGGTCAGGTTCACCACGCAGGATTCTGCACAGAATAAGAGACCCCAAGCACGGTCTGGAAAACCAGGATTTTAGAATCACAACATTGTAAAATTTTATTTCCTATAATTTATTAGAAACAGTATCTTACAGTTACAGAGCAATAATGGTAAGAAGGACCTTGGAGTTTTAGTTAGCCTCAGCCCACATTCAGGGGAGATGTGATTGGCCCACAGCAATGTGGTAGGGGGTGGGTGGCAGAGCTGGCACCGCGATCCAGGCTTCCTGACTCTCGGGCCAGGGCTCCTCCTCCTACACCATCCAGGCTGCCTTTAATAGGCACAACCATGCCCATGTCAACCAACCATGCCCATAACACACAGGCCCAGGACTGCTTAGGACATCAGGACGGCCTCTGTCTGGGGATTTGGAGTTGGGGGTTGTTGGCTATTTTTAAGGAAGGAGGGGAAGGGGCAGAAAGTAGCAAGAGTAGCTCACCAACTCCTCCAACACACCACTAGGTGCCCACATCCCCACACACACACTCTTCTGAAGTCCCAGGGCTGGCTTTGCTGCCAACAGGCCATGTGGCTTTAGGCAAATAATAACCTCATTCTGGACCGTAGTTTTCCCCTCAAAAAGCAAGAAGGTTGCAATATCTCTGGCCTTTTCAGTTCTGCCCTTCAGTGAGGCCAGGAGCCAAGTCCTCTGCCCTCCCTCCCCCAAAATAGGCGCACACGCGTGTACACACAGACACACACACAGCACTGAGAATTTAGTTGGGACTCTGAAAACATTTGCTGAATGAGTCACTTAACTAACTGGACCTGCAGGCAAAGGCTCTCCAAATTTCCAAATGCAGCAACAGCTCATTCAGTAATTCTTTCCTGAGCCGGCCCCCATACCTGAGCTAAGGACACAGAGACTCTGCCTGCCCCTCAGTGAGCTCTCAGGTCCACCCCGCCAGGACAGATGGGTTGTGAAGCCTGGCAAAGCAATGAGAAGGTTAATCTGCTCAATAAAACAGACCTCTTAAACACTGTATATGGAAGGACCCCTGTGGGGATATATAGAATCCAGTAGGTATATGCATTTTTTCCCCTAGAAGGAAATACAAGAAACTGTTAACAGTGGTTAAGGGAACAGAGGACTAGGAGACGGCCTGCACTTTTCATTTTTATACTTTTCTGAACTGTGTATTTTCTAACAATATATATTATCCTCCCTCCCTTTCAATCAAGGTTATTTGAGCAGTGGGATTATGGGATGTATTTTTTTCTTTATGTAAAACTCATTAATATTTTAATTGTCAAGAACAAAACAAAATGAAACAAATTAAACCTGCTTCTCACTTTAGCAGGCTAGACAGTAATGTGTGCTTTGTACACTAACCCATGCTCCAACTCAAACTTTCATTTACACTCCAGTCCCACATACAGTCTGTCTATTGCTCTTTCCATCTGGATCCATCTGCAAAAGCAAACATCATTTTTTTCTTCTCTGACTTTGTTCCTCACTCCTATGTCCCTACCTTGATGAATGGCCCCATGGTCAAGTCCCCCAAGTCAGAAATCTGAGAGTCATCCTTGGCTCCTCTTCTCTCACACTCCCGTATCTGGTTAGCCATAAATAGGAGGATTGCTTGAGCCCAGGAGTTAGAGACCAGCCTAGGCAACATAGTGAGATTTCATCTCTATAAAAAAATGAAAAAAATTAGCCAGGCATGGTGTTGCATGCCTGTATTTGCAGCTACTTGGGAGGCTGAGACTAGAGGTTCACTTGAGCCCAGGAGTTTGAGGCTGCAGTGAGCTGATCATGCCACTGCACTATAGCCTAGGTGACAGGGCAAGACCCAGTCTTTAAAAAAAAACACAAAACTTTTGTGCATCAAAGAACATTATCAAGATAGTGAAAACACAATCTATAGAATGGGAGAAAATATATGCAAATCATACATCTGATAAGGGTCTAGTATCCAGAATATATGAAGATCTCATATGACTGAACAACAAAAACACAACACAATCAAGAAATGGGCAAAGGCGTTATATAGACATTTCTTCAAAGAAGATATACAAATGTCCAACAAACACAGGAAAGTATGCTCAATTATTTGTCATTAGGAAAATGCAAATCAAAACCACAAGGAGCTGGATGGTAGTGTGCCTATAGTCACAGCTATTCAGGAGGCTGAGGTCGGAGGATTGCTTAAGACCAGGAGTTCGAAGCTATAGTGTGCTATGATCACGCCTGTGAATAGCCACTGCACTCCAGCCTGGGCAACATAGAGAGACCCTGTCTCTAAAAACAGTTTAAAAATTAAAAAACTACAATGAGATATCACTTCACACCCAATAGGATGGCTATAATTGAAAAAAAAAATGAGTGTTCACAAGGATGTGGAGAAATTGGAACACTCATACATTGCTGGTAGGAATGTAAAATGGTTCAGTCACTGTGGAAAACAGTTCAGGGACTCCTCAAAAAGTTAAATATAGAATTACACTATGACCCAGGAATTCCACTCCTAGGTATGTACCTAAAAGAATTAAAAACAAGTACTCAAATAAACACATGTGCGTGCATGTTCATAGCAGCTCTATTTTCAATACCCAAAAGGTGGAAACAACCCAAATATTCATCAATAGATGAATAGATAAATTGTGGTATATACATGCAGTAGAATATTATTCAGCCATAAAAGGAATGAAGTATCAATAGATACTACAATGTAGCTAAACCTTAAAAACACGCTGAGTGAAATAAGCCAGACACAAAAGGTCACATATCGTATGATTCTATTTATATGAAATATCCAGAACAGGCAAATCCAGACACAGGAAAGCAGATGGGTGATTGCCAGGGGTTAGGGGGAGGGGTCAGTGGGGAGTATCTGCTTAATGGGTATGGCTCCCCTGTTGGAGGAATAAACATTCGTTGGAACTTGATAGGGGTAGTGGTTGTACAACATTGTGAATACACTAAATGCCACTGAATTATTCCCTCCGCCTTTTTATTAGAGGCAGGGTCTTACTCTGTCACCCAGGCTAGAGTGCAGTGGTGCCATTATAGCTCACTGTAGCCTCGAACTCTTAGGCTCAAGTAATCCTCTTGCCTCAGCCTCCTGAGTAGCTGGGACTGCAAGAATGAGCCACAGCGCCCAACTTGAATTATTGACTCTTAAATGCTTAATTTTGTGTTACATAGATTTCACTACAATAAAATTTTTTATGATTTAATGAAAATAAAATAGAGTGTCTGCCTGAGTTCAAAGCTTAGGCTTCCTTCCCTGCACTTTGGGGGCATTCACTGGGGACAGCCCATAGAACAGATTCTATAATGGTTGTGGCTCTGGTGCTACCAAGCTGAGGGACAGGCAAGTCACCATACCTGGATCCTGATTACCGTACCTGCCAAATAAAGACGATAATACCCAACCTGCCAGGGCTTCCACAGAGACTCAGTGCGAAGGTGAAAAAGATAAAATCAACTGGAAAATGAGAGATGATGACGATGATTCATAAAATACCCAACTTACTTCTCCCACCATTTCTAATGTTAATCTTGTAACCCAAAGATGTTCTTTTAAAAACAAAACAAGTCACCCATGGCGGCTCACACCTGTAATCCCAGCACTTTGGGAGGCCAAGGTGGGAGGATTGCCTGAGGCCAGGAGTTTGAGATCAGCCTGAGCAACATAGTGAGACCCTGTCTACAAAAAATAGAAAAAAATTAGCTGGACGAGGTGGCATCAGCTACTCGAGAGGCTGAGGCAGGAGGATCAGTTGAGCTCAGGAGTCTGAGGTTGCAGTGAGCTATTAAAATGCCACTGAACTCTAGCCTGGCAACAGAGTGAGACCCTGTCTCAAAAAACAAAACAAACAAACAAAAACCCTGAAGAATCCCAGTATGGAACACAGTCAGAAAGGGCCACTAAGGATGTTTTAGATAAAAACTCACATATGATTAGAAAATAAGAACCAATTTAAACTAGGAATATAAGGGAACTGTCTTAACTAGATAAAGGGTATCAAACAAACAAAAAAACCCACAAAACAAAAAACTCCACCAAAACCTATAGCTAACAGCACACATTTACCACTACACTCAGTGTAAATGCTGAATGCTTTCTCCTAACATCAGG